ATCACCACTACGATCGAATATATACCTGAAGTGTGACTTGCAGTTGGCCACCACGATTCGTATAAGCACTCTTGTCGCTCGCATGACTTTCGTATTCCACTTTTTCCATCCATAGCGTTTTCCATTCTTTCAGTTTCGCATACACATCCTGTCGTTCCTGATGGAAACGACTCAGTTTCTCCACTTCTTGTTGAATTTTCGCCAAATCAGATGCCGTATGTGTAGCTGAAAGATCATCTCATCATTATTTTTGGAACTCTCTGAATTTTGATTGAAAAGCTAGTCAAAAAATCGCCACGTCGGAAAAAATCCATTGATAAATTGTGCAATCACAATCACTAACATGGATTGAATTCACGTGGAAACTGCCGTATGGTTTGAGGGATGTGACATTGTTCCCAGAGTTCATCAAGTTTTACAATCGCCTCGACGTAACTGAATTGCGCTAGCTCGATCCACTCCTCATAGTTGACCATTGCCTTGAAAATCATTTTCTTTCTTGTAAATCTGATTCACATACAAACCAAATCCAACTTAAATAGAATCATTCACAATTTACATCACAGGTGAAAATCACTACATGATCATCTAAACGTGATGGAATGATACAGAATCGGAATAGAGGAATGAATCGCAAGATTGGATTACATACCGATTGGTGTACATCTTTGAAATTATCCATGAACGACTGATCGAAAACACGCTCCGGATCTTCCAAATCCAGTTCAAGGAACACTTTCGTCGCATCATCATCTTCAGGCTTTTTGCCGGTCTGATGGAACCATCTTTGTAAATCGGTCTGCCACTGGCGTGCCTTGCCGATACGTTCACTCAACTCACGACTCAGCTCAACGACACGCTCTTGTAGTGTTGTCAGTATATCATTTTCCCAAACCTGGAAAAACTTTTAGTTCGAGTTATTCTTAAAATTTATTTATTGCTATCGTTATCGCAATATCACCATTATCATTATTTCTAACATATCACTGCACGAACAACACTACAATTGCTCCTTGTTAATAACGTTATTTTAAAAGAAAAGACCAGCGAGACATAACCCTAACAAGCGATTGAAGAACAAACTATATACTTCCTAAAGTAGGAATTCAAAAATTGTAGTGGAGGCGATCGACCAGAGCAATCAAAATGAAATTGTAAACACCTTTTGAACGTCTGGCAATTCACCAGCTTCTTCGCCAATTCGCATTGCAATCGAACGTACTTCATCGACCATCTGACGCTGACCATTAACTCGGTCTTCTTTCAACGATTTCAAACGTTGACGTTCTTTGTCAAGTGCCCGGTACTGAAATGGCCACACTCTCTTATCAATGCGATTAAAGAATCGTTTGCTTTCATTTCGGAAAAGACCAAATTAATAACTCACAAGACCGACGGATTCTGCCGGATAATGGTAGACCTCGAACGGTGGCAGATGAAGTTCTGCGCGCATTCCATTGATTTCCGGCAACCACTCGTTCACTGAAGCTTTCACGCATTTCACCATAGCACCTTCTGAATCCAACTGCAATAAGAACAATGTTAAACTTAACATTATCATTTCTGCTCATTCGAATTGTCACTCAATATGTGACGCAAAAACATACAAGAAGAGCAAATATTTGAAATCTTCATTGAATTCGTTATTGAGCCTAGATTCTGAAGCTTCTAATCTTCGGATATCTGAATTCTAGGAATCGACCGATAATTTCTTAACGAGAATGAGATATGATTTTCCACTATTCAAAACGATAAAACTGCAATAAAAAGGAACATAGGTGAACATAGAAATCGTGATATCGATCAAATCTGAAAAATTTGGTCAGCA